CTGCATATGGATTTCCAGTTTTCCCAGCACCATTTATTGAAGAGGCTCTCTTTTACCCAGTGTATATTCTTGTTGCCTTTGCCAAAGATCAGTTGTGGATTGAATTCTGGGTTCTCTATTCTGTTCCATTGGTCTGAGTATCTGTTTTTATGTCAGTACCGTGCTGTTTTGGTTACTATAGCTTTGTAGTATAGTTTGAAGTCAGGGAGTGTTATGCCTCTGACTTTTTTTTTTATATGTTATGTTTTAATTAGCAGACTGGATTTATTGATTTGAAGATTGTCTCTAGTTGTGTTTGTTGAATTGAAAGTCTCCCAACAGTCCTTGAAGAATAACATAAAATTGTAAAGACTGAAAGTATTACTCATATTTGAAAAAAGAGGGATTAAGTGAAAACTTAAACACTTAATAAATTATAGCAAGCATTAAAGCTGCTACCGCATGTTATACATTCAGGGCCAAGAAATAATAAAAATGTTGCCTAGAAGAAATCAATAAATTTTAATTTTGTGGATTTATTTTCAAGGACATGAATTTTCCACACAAAGATCATTTCTAAAAATTATGACCAAGTAACATCACTGATTGTCAGTTTGCATTAGTCAGGTGAGCTAACTACAGGTGACAAGCCCAAATCTCAGTGGCTTAACACAACAAAGGCTTATTTTTCACTCTTTTCACAGTCTAAAAAGGGTCAGCAGTAGAAGTGAAGTGGATTGAGTGAGTGAAGAAATCTTTTGCACACAGTCATTCAGGGACCCAGACTTCTTTATCTAGGGATTCTGCTATCTCCCTAGGCTTTGGAGACAGCCACTGGATCCTCTGCATCCAGTCAGAAGATCAGAAAAAGAGAGACAGAGATAGAGATAATATAAAAGGTGTGTGCAAGGGTCCATGAGCCAGGCCTGGAAGTGACACATATCACTTCTGACCACCTCCCCTCAGCCAGAACTCCATCATTAGGCCCCACTTAATTTAGGGAGGCTAGGAATATAGTCTAGCATTGTGCCAAGGAGAAAGCTATTATTGGTATTGGTGAACCACTGGACAGTGTTTACCACTCAGTTTACTTTCATTTTCTTTAGTTTCCGGTATAAGGGTATGACAACTGACAGAAATATTGCTATTTGCCACCACGAACTTTATCTGTGATACTCTGTGTCTTATAAACTCTAGCATAAGCTGCCCATGCATACAGCGATGGTCATCTTCTCAGTTATCTTGTTAGTTTCTATGATGGCTTCTGTAGTAGTTCATGATTTAATGCAAATATTTAGTTCTAATATTGGAGAACGATACATATGGCTACTGTCTCAGTATTTTTCTTTCATTGGGTTTTCTTTGCTATGAAGAATGGAGAGCAAAGAGAAGCCAACTATATGACCGAATTGAAATTTATCTTCAACAGTTCTTTTGTTGACTGAGCTCTTTAAGTAAACACAATCTAAATTTGTTCTTTTTTTCTTTTTATGTGTTATAGGAATGGGGCCTACCAATACTTCTAGGACTGCATATGGGTCTGTTTTCATATTTCAGAGAAAATGTACAGTTTCCTGAAACGCCTTCTCAGGATCTGGGAAGGGTAGATAAATTTAATAGCTCTTCATTAATGGTTGTTTATACGCCGATCTCTGATGTAACCCAGCAGATAATGAATAAAACAGCATTTGCTCTCTTTTTGAAAGGTAGGTGTACTCATGGCAAAAACAGAATTACTCTTATTAGTTTATATCCTTTTGATAAGATGTATACATGTTAATATGAAGTTACAGTGGTACATTAAACTCATAATTTAAGTATCAAGATAACATACAAATTTGGTTCATTTTTTTCTTTCTCACACAACAACTAGCCTTTTAAATCCTTTCAGCTTGATGGGAGGCAATTTAGGAGGCCTACATTTCTATTGGGGTGCAACTATATAACAGATTTATAATTTCAGATTTGTGGAATAGTTCCTAGGAGGAATACTCATGTAGCCATTGGTGACTATGGAAATACAATGATTAAGATTTATAGCTCAGGACAAAAAACATCTAAATAGAAGAAATTAGTTAATGATTATAGAACAACCATTTCACAATTACAAAAAGTAAGGATGCATAATCTGAAGATTATTCTGTTCTGCATAGTGTATAATTTGTAAACATTTTTAAAGATCTTTTTTCTAAATGAGGTCATGATGTGACCAAGATAAACAAAATGCATATTTCCTTCATGGGCAAGTTGGGTGCAGTCTGGCTGTTTGCTCTTTAATACTCGATTTCTAACAAGTGAAATTTCCGGCTGTTAGAAATAGAGGCACTTTGTTATCTTGGTTTCTGCATAAGGCAGAGGTCATGTAAATTGTCTTTGCTTTAGTAAATCTGAAATCTGGAATCCCTGACTGTATAGTAATTACAGCAATTGCCTCTACTTTTTATACTCAATTCTTTTATGCATGCTTTTTCTGGCATAATGTTTTTGATGTACCTAAAAATTGCCCTGATACCTGTCATTATGAAAAGAAAACACTTAATTTTCA